CATCTTCAGGCTATTATAACAGTGTTTTACAGAAGGAGACACATAAATGTATTTCCAGGGACTCAAGAAGGATGGAATAGGACCACACACAGGTGCCTAATAAAATGGAATAGTATCTAGTCCAGGAGCAAGCAAAATATGGCCCACAGGCCGCATCCAGCCTGCCAGGCGATTTCATCCAACCTGGAGGCACCCACCAATTAACTGAACCCTGCCCAGCCTGTGCACTTCATTCCCACCCTCGTGCATGGGAGGACCCTGGCTGAGGCAGCACACGTAGCTTCCAGGCAGGGCTGCTGCTGCCACTGTTGCAGTCACCGAGGGACCTGCTCAGCTTCCCCAGCCTCCAGTGGCTCCTCCTCATGTACCTGCTGCAGCGCTGGCTCCAGGCAGCAGGTAGGGAAGCTGCAGCTGGGCTGGGGCATGAAGTGTGGGACTGGGGCTGGCAAGAGCAAGGTGCCCACACTTAGCCGGGTGGCAGGAATACAGAGCTCAGGTGGGCAGGGTGTGGGTGTGAGGAAGGGTGGGGAGGGTGTGGGGACCCCTGCCACACCACTCCCCTACCCCCATGACACACAGCTCCTACCGCTGTCAGCAGCAGCAGAAGGCCCTCAGGGTGCTTGTGGCCCGTGTAGGTGCAGCCAGCTGGTGGAGTGCAGTTCCAGCCAGTTCCAGGAGCTGCACATGGCGGCAAGGAGCAGAGTCAGGTCACTGGGCTCAAGTGCAGCTTCTGAGACTCACGCACCACTGAGGGGACACCCTGCACAATGGAGCCAGGGGCCTGGCCCTGCTCCCTGCCACAATTTTCAGGTCCCAGGACTTCACTGGGAAGCAGGGCTTCCCACCATGTCCGCAGAGTCCAATAAGCTGCACATGGCAGTAGGCAGCAAGGCCAGGCCACTAGCTCCATTGTGCAGGGCTTCTCCTGGTACTACACGAGTCTCAGCAGCTGCACATGAGCCCTGCATGACAGAGCCAGCCTGGCTCTGCTCCTTGCAACCACATGCAGTTCCCAGGCAACTGTGCCTGCATGGGTCACAAGCATCCCGAGGGCCCACTGCCTGCTGCTACTGCCGCCAGTGGCAGGAGCTGTGTACCGTGGAGAGGTTCCCACATACCCCCAACCCTCTCTCACACCCACCCTGCCCACACCCCAATACAGCATGGCCACAGCCAACATACTTCATTTTTTAGCTATTATTCAATCACCTTTATGTACACTGTGCAAACACACATAAATCAGGACAAAAAACAAAAATATTTTTTAAAATAAAATTAAAATGTTATAGTAGATGCTTGACTTTTAATATATGATTTGTTTTTTTTCTGGTTCCAAGCTTGTACAAGGAGAACCTCCAGTGGCAAGGGGAGGGACTTCCAGTGGCAAGGTCAGAGGATTAGGGGACGGGACTTCTGATCCCAAGATGATGACCAGGGGGCAGGGCACCTGTCAAGAGGCAGGGCTACCACTGCAGCCCTCGACAGCTCACCAAAACTCACGAAGCTGCCCTCCAGCTAAAATAATTGTCTACCCCTGATCCAGTTCATGGCCTTCTCCGGGCATCAAGGATGCCCTCGTCCTGATGAAAGGGAAAGGGGCTGCTTTTAGTCCACCATATGCAGAGCTGTCTGCATATTACGTATGGAGGGAGGAGACTGGGAACATACTAAGTGCATGTAGCATGAAGTCATCTCAGTGAAGTGAAGGTTCTTATGAAGGTTTTGGCAAGCCTCTAACAAGCTCTACTGAGCATGTACAGAGGCAACTTTCAAAAGCTGAATAATTCACAGATCTCAGTATATTTTTGTGTGGTGCATACAGAAAAAAGCACTACTCTGACCTATCAGATTTCAAATTCCTGTCCAAACACGAAAGTGCTACAGCTCAAAGAAAAAGCTGGAATATATTTTTAACGTTAGAAAATCTATTCTTCATCAGCCTAATTCTGAGGAATCGGTAGAGAGCAAGTATGGATCATTTCAGCCTGGAATGCTGAAATTAGGCAAAATTTTGAAAATTGGAAACAAGAATTTATAATAAAATGTCTTAAACTATCTACATGGTGAACTAACTGTCCCCAGTGATAGCATCCTCAAGCACACAAGAGGTGCTTGGGAAAGCTGCACCTATACCAGAAGCAGTGAAGCCACTGTTTAGCAAAGTTTGGGACAGGCTAAATAGCACTGCTGTGCTACAGCACCAATAAACGTGTCCCCGAAGTAACTGGCTTGAAATCACATTTCCAATTTAGGAGACACCCTAAATATAGCTTTAGACAACACTACCTATAGGTAGGGATCTACCAAAATCACAGCAAAATGCTTAAAACCGCTCAGTTTTTGCCTCCCGGCTGATCAGCAGCAACCAGTGGGGCTGCTGGGTCCCCTCTGCCAATCAGGGGGAAGGGGGGAGCACGGTGAAACAATCCAAATTATAGGAGCACACTGCACAGCACGCCATGATTTCTGTAGGTGCCGACTTACAGGCACCATTGTGGCACTGACCTATTGCAGCAGCACTGTAGTTACCATGTTATAGGCAGTGAGGTAACAAATACAGAGGGCCAGTGGCAAACATACAGAATTATACATATGAGCACAAGGTATTGTGCCATCAATTATTAGGCATGAAGAGCCCTTGAGAAATAGCCTAAATTTGTTGAAAACATACAAATATATTCAGATTAAAAGCACTCAGGGACAGGAACTGTTGTTCTGTAACATACAAGTAGAATGGCTAACAGACTAGGATGCCGACTGCTAACTCAAGTGAGAAAATAAGTCAAAAGAAATGATAATATTTTGTAATAAAAGGGAGTTTATATAGTAGTCAGAATTAAAGTCTTGTACAAGTTTACAATTTTCACGTTTACTTCTATTAAATGTATTGACTATAATAAAATCAATAGTAGCAGCTGCTTCTAAAATTTGTGGAAGAAGCTTTACAGAGAACTACTCAAATTATCTGTTCCTAAATAACCTTGAACTGAAATCAACAATCTTTGCTACAAATGCATGTGGTACTTTACACTGTAATACTGATAATATATCGTGTTTAATTCTGAACACATTACCAAAATAAGTTCATGACAAATTGGAGGGAGTTCAAGGGGAAAAAACACCCAAGGTTTTCATGAAGCACAAAGGACTTATTTATGAAGAAATATTAAAAGAGCTAAGGTATTTATAGCTTGGTCAAGCAATGAATGAGGAGGTAGGGACTATGAGAACAGTACAGATATTTGAAGAGTGAAAACATCAAGCAGGAAGAGTTAGTGGTTTACACAAGGATATACTGAAAAGATAATTAAAAGGGATAAAATGAAACAAGGAAAACTTAAGACTGAATATCAGAAAACACTTCTGCACAGAGAAACATATCAGCTTATAAATACTCTCTCCAGGGAAGCACTAGATGCCCAGTGCTTGGCATTTCAAGGTTATTTAGGAACAGATAATTTGAATTGTGCCAGAGGAACAACCTTGCACTGGTAAACCAGTGAACTATACGCATTACTAACGTTTAGGATTCTGTAATGGCATATGCTTGACAAGCTGCAGATAAAATAGTTAATTGTCTTTGTTTATAAGGCACATATTAAAAAAAATATTAAATTCTTCTCCAGAAAATAATGGTGTAAAAAAAAAAAAAAAAGCCCTCAAATAGGAGATTTAAATGTATTAATTTAAACTGTAAGCTAAAGTCATTTATTTTTTAATTCTGTCAGGAGGAAAAATACATCTAGCCTACTCTAAGCACAATTAAAAGGGCAGGGATGCATTTCCTCCAGCAGAGGTCACTCCAGGATAACAAATTATAAAAAACAGTCATTACAGAGTTAATGTTTATTTTTACAAAAAATACTGTTAAGTTGTTCTCTCCATGTCCTGCAGTTCTGAGGCACATATGACCATGACAACAGATACAGAAAGCAGCATGCTGGGCAAAATGTAACATAGTTATAGAGCAAGAAAAATTCCTGACCATCACTGATCTGCTGTGGGAATTTGGACAAGTCACTTAAGCCATTTCCCCTCTTGCCTTTTATCTGACTGGTCTATAAGCCATACGCCCTGCAGGAGAAATTAAAAAAAAAAAAAGCCTCTCAATGTGCATTTGTACAGTGCCTAGCATACTCAGTCCACAATCTTGGTTAGACTCTCAAAGCACTACAAACAGTAACAACACAGAGAGTCTACCCAATAAAATATGGTTGGTATTTACTTACACAGCATTTTACATCCACAAATGTAAAAAGCCTTCATAAAAGTGAGCAAACATTAGCATCCATTTATGGATAGGTAAATAAATGACTAAGGTAAAAGAACAAAGTTGAGAGTGCAAAAGTGAAACCTATGCTGAAACTCCAATGAAATTTGCATCCTAATGTCTTTAGTTAAATTGGAGACTTCAGTCCAATCTATTTCATATTTCTTATGTGAAGTTTGCAAAGCAGAAAAGATTCTTCAAAGAACAGAGAAGAAATGGTTACAGTTTGTTGTGCAGGAGAGGGGCACACACTAAAGAATGCTTGCTAATTCAGAACAGCTTAAAGTGTGAGCATAGCTAGCAAAGTTCCTCTTCAAAAAGACGCACGGGATCCATATTTCTCTCTCCATTTGCTCTGTACAAAAGTCTACAAATGACTATTTGAGAACCAGCCCCGCTAAATCCCTAATCTAACTATCAAACATTTGGTCTCAAATAGTCTGAGCAAGGTTCCAGCTGCTGACTAAAAAGCAAAGGTCTCCATAAACTATTACTAATCGTCCGACCCACCCAAGTTTCCTGTGTATTTTTGTTTAAATTACGTAAAATCCTTTGTGGAATTTGTTGCAAAACTTTACAAAAATAGGAAGGCAAAAAAAGACCTAATTGTTTTAGATCTTTCTGTCTGATGAACTGTGTCTCTACAATACCAATAGGTGGATTTGCAGAGTAAGGGAAATCATAAACTGAAGAGCAGTATCACATCCTAAGCAAGATGCAGAAACCTTACCTGCTTCCTTGCATAATGCTGCCAAGTCTGCTCCCACATATCCATGTGCACTGTCAGCCAGGTGCACCAACTCTGTTCCAGTCAGTAGATGAGGAACCTGATGAAGAAGCTTGCTCAGTATGTCTAGTCGGTCCTGTGCATTTGGAACTCCAATTTCTATCTCTTTATCAAAACGCCCAGGTCTCCGTAATGCGGGATCCAGTGCATGAGGACGGTTTGTGGCACCTAGCACCAAGAGCTGACCTTCACTATCCTCCTAAACAAGCCAAAGTAAAGAGAAAAAAGGATTAGAAAGTAAACCTTGAAATCCTACTAAATTTATTAAACACAATTCAACATTAACAACTATCTTCCTGATCTGAAACAGAAGGTCAATAAACCAATTTAACCTGAATCAGTTCAATCCATCCAGGTTCATCTTAAACCAGTTTCAGACATTTTGAAAGCAGTTTATATGCACTGAACTTCTGTTATGTTACCAATTTGAACCAGCTTACTATCATTTTTACTAGTTTATGTATCATTTTTACCGCCCTCTGGATAGCTAGTTAAAACCCGGACATAGTAGGGCTCACAGAAACCTGGTGGGATTCATCCCACAACTGGACAGTTAACATTAGGGGCTATAGACTATACAGGCAGGATAGAACAGGGAAGAAAGGCAGGAGTGTGGCACTCTAAGTCAAAGAGCAATACACATCCTCAACCAGCAGGATGGGGTCTGAGGGGCAGGCTGAAGTGCTCTGGGTCAGGATACAGGGGGGTCGTGGGGAAAGGGACGTAACGGTGAGGGTCTGCTACAGACCTCCCAACCAAGGGGAAGAGCTGGACCGCAAATTCTTGGGTCAGCTTGCAGAGGCACTTAAGGCAAGGGATGTAGTTGTCATGGGTGATCTAAATTACCCAGACATCTGCTGAGAGGAGCAGTTAGCCAGGTCAGACTGCTCATGAAAGTTCCTTGCTGAAATACGGGACCTCCACTTAACCCAGGAGGTGCACAGTCCCACCAGGGGGAATGCCCTGCTGGACCTGGTCCTGGTCCTGGTCCTGGTCCTGGTCCTGGCCACAGGCAATGGCCTGATGAGGGGACTCCAGGTCCTCGACCACCTGGGTGATGGTGATCATTGCTTGCTGGAATTCACAATCCAGTGCAGGGTGTCAAGGGCCTGAAGCAAGGCAGTAGCCCTTGACCTAAAGAGGGCCAACTTCAATGAGTTGAGATTAGTGGGAGAGGCACTGAGGTCCTGGAGAGTAGCAGAACTGGGTGCCCAAAATGAGTGGTCATTCCTTAAGGAGACGATACTCAGAGCCCAAGGGGTGACAATCCCAATGAGAAGCAAAGGGGGCAAGAGTGCCCAAAAGCCCCCCCGGCTCACCAAGGGCATTCGGGAATGGCCAATTGCCAAAAAGGAGGCGTACGCCCAGTGGAAGGTAGGGGCTATCACCAAAGAGGAGTATACCTCCACCACTCAGGGCTGTAGAGGAGCTGTTAGGAAAGCTAAGGTAGATACGGAACTAGGGCTAGCATCAAGGATAAAAAGTCCTTTTTAAAAATATATAGGGAGCATTAAGAAGGCACCGGGTAATGTGGGGCCCCTGCAAGATATGCTTGGCAATCTGGTGGTTGCACCAGAGGAGAAAGCAGACCTCTTTAACTATTTCTTTGCCTCCATTTTCTTGTGCAGGGACCGGGACTCCCCTACAGAGATTCAGGACAGACTCAGGAGAAACTCTGCCACGCCTAGGGTCAGGGAGGACAGAGTTAGGGAACTTCTGGAGGGGCTGGACATGTTCAAATCAGCAGGTCCAGATGCTCTCCACCCCAAGGTGTTGAGGGAATTGGCAGGGGTTATTGCAGGGCCCCCGGCATGGCTTTACAAGCACTCATGGTGCTCTGGCCAGGTGCCCGACGACTGGAAGAGAGCCAATGTGGTCCATCTTTAAAAAAGGGAAGAGGGAGGACCCAGGCAACTACAGGCCTGTTAGTCTTACTTCAACCCTGGGGAAGCTCTTTGAGAAGATTATCAAGGAGCACATCTGTGATGAGCCAGCAGCAGGGATGATGCTCAAAGGCAACCAGTATGGGTTCATTAGGAGCAGGTCATAGTTTCGTAGTTGGTCCTGTCAGACCAACCTGATTGCCTTCTACGATCAGGTCACAAAATCATTGGATGCAGGTGTCACAGTGGATGTAGTCTTTCTGAATTTCAGGAAGGCCTTTGACAATGTCTCCCACCCCATTCTCATCAAAAAGCTAGGCGACTGTGGCACTGATGCCTACACAGTCAGATGGATTGCAAATTGGCTAAGGGATCGTACTCAGAGAGGGTGGTGGACAGGTCATATTTGACCTGAAGGGAAGTGGGCAGTGGAGTCCCCCAGGGCTCGGCCCTTGGGCCCGCACTGTTCAATTTCTTTATTAGCGACTTGGATGACGGAGTGAAAAGCACCCTATTTAAATTCGCAGACGACACCAAGATTTGGGGTGAGGTGGACACGCTAGAAGGGAAGGACAGATTACAGCAGGACCTGGACATGTTACAGGGGTGGGCGAATGAATATAGGATGGGATTCAATACTGACAAGTGCAGGGTACTGCACTTAGGCAGTAGGAACCAGCAGCATACCTATAGGCTGGGGAACTCCCTTCTTGAAAGCACGGCGGCAGAAAGAGATCTTGGAGTCATTATTGACTCCAAGATGAACATGGGCCAACAATGCAAGGACACAGTCAGTAGGGCTAACCGTACCTTGTCGTGCATCCACAGATGCATCACAAGGAGGGCCAAGAAAGTGATCCTCCCCCTCTATGCAACACTGGTCAGGCCACAGCTGGAGTACTGCGTCCGGTTCTGGGCGCCACACTTCAGGAGGGATGTGGACAACATTGAGAGGGTCCAAAGGAGGGCCACTAGCATGATCCGGGGACAGCAGGGCAGACCCTACGAGGAGATGCTTTGGGACCTTAACCCATTCAGCCTTCGCAAGAGAAGGCTGAGGGGGGGACCTGGTGGCCGTCTATAAACTTACTAGGGGGGACCAGCGGGGATTGGGAGAGAACTTGTTCCCCCAAGCGCCTCCCGGAGTAACAAGGAATAACGGCCATAAGTTGTTAGAGAGTAGGTTTAAACTAGACATTAGAAAACGCTACTTCACAGTCAGGGCAGCTAGGATCTGGAACCAACTTCCAAGGGAAGTGGTGCTGGCTTCTACCTTGGGGGTCTTTAAGAGGAGGCTTGACGTTTACCTAGCTGGGGTCATTAGAGCCCAGTTTTCTCTCCTGCCCAGGGCAGGGGGTTGGACTAGATCTACAAGGTCGCTTCCGACCCTACATCTATGAATCTACGTGTAATTTCCATCCCTGGCCCCTATGAGCTTTCCACAACAATTTCACATAAAGTTGTCTCCTAGCTACAAAAAACACCACCACACAAAGCACTTTTCAACTCATTAGATCAGAAATTATCCAGCACAGGAGCTCCTGGGAAAGAGAATGAACTGATGGTAATAAGCTGAAGACAACATGGGGGGGACAACAGAGCCAAATGAAATTTCAGCTTTCTTCAAAAGAAAGTTGATATTTCTACATTGGCCTTTGACCCAAATCAGAACAAAGAGTTTAAATTGTTTTAAATAAATATAAAAACAATTACCATACATACTTGATTACAAGACAAGGTTTTTCTTGCCCATTTAACATACAGGAAAAAAACTCCTTGCCTTACAATCAAGTACAAGGTCGCAGGGGACTGCCTTGCTCCATCTCCCCCCTGCTGCTCCCCCACAACAGCTCCCCCCTACACCTGCCCCCAACAGCTCCCTCAACTACTTGTCCCTTTACTACCCCCACCATTTGCCCTAGTATATGCCCCCTGCCTGCCCCATTACTGCCCTCCTCGTTTTCTGCTTTATAAAAGACTACCTTGCTTTTGAAACACAAGTCTCAGCCTGTCCTGAACCAGACATCTGCAAACAAACTAACTGGCCTTCTCCTTGTAAGATTATGTGATGGACCAGTACATGTGAGGGTATTTGTTTAGACCAGAGGCAGGCAAAGTCTGGCCTGCCGGCTGGATCTGACCAGCTGTGGACTCCATTTCCCAGCAGCCCCCGCCCACGTGGCTGGGGTCAGTTTCCATGGAGACCCCAGCAGCAGCCATGCTGTGGTAGTGGGGCTGGGGTTTCTGTAAAGACCGGCCCCAGCAGCACTGACAGGCAGCAGCAGTGGTGCCAGCCTCTTCCTGGGGCAGGGAGGGGAGGCTGAGGGAAGACTGTGCTGTGGGTAGGAGCGAGGCGGGCTCAGCTGTCACTGCCTGTGCAGAGTGGGCAGCAGAAGCACCACTAGGAAGGTTGGCTACAGGGGCAGACTACAAGGAATTTTGGGATGGCTATAGCCCCCCCTGCTGCCAGGGTACGTGGTAGGGCAGAGAGCTCCTTCAGAACCAAGCTAGGATCTTGCGGCGATGACAGCATGATTCAGAGCCAGGGCACAGCCGCGATCTGCAGCCTGCATGCCCTGGAGAGGGGCATGCAGGAAGTGGATTGCAGCTCTGCCCCAGCTCCAGACCATGCTGTCACTGTTGCAAGGAGCCAGGGCAGAGCCATGTTCTGCTACCTGCATGTCCCTGCCCAGGGCATGCAGGGTACAGATTGCCGTTCTGCCCTGACTCTGGACCATGCTTGTCACCACTGCAAGATCCCAGCCTGGCTCCAGAGCAGCTCTGTGCCCTGCCAGCACTGCTGGGGCTGGTCTCCACAGAAACCCCAGCCTCGCACACCTGTTGCTGGGATCTCCATGGAAACTGGCCCCAACCACGCAAGCAGGAGCTGCTAGGAAATGGAGTCTGGCTGCCAGCCAGATCCGCCATTTTGCCCACCCCTGGTTTAGACCGATACACTGGGAAGGCAGGAGACAGTATGCTCTAGTAGAATAGTAAGGAACTGGACTGAAAGTCATAATATCTGTCTTTCTGCATAACACTGCCACTGTTCTACTGAACTACGCAGAAATGGGCAAGTGGAGTTTCACAAAGATGTGCCCTGGAAACAATCAATGTTTTCATTAATGACTTAGAAAAATAGTTTGCTAATGGCATTTGCTGTGCTACAAAACTGGGAGACATCATGAGCAGAGGATGGCCAGAAAATTATACAGGATGAGCCAACAGGATTAGAAATGGGATAAATTTTAATAGATAATTTTAATTGAAATGGGGTAAAATTTAATAGATAAACTGAAACTGGAACAGGTGCAGA